GCGAGCAGCTGTGTGGTGTTTGCCCAGTAGCCAGGGGTGTAAAACTACAGCAGGGGGCAAAAAAAGTGGAGTAGTGAGATAGTTTGGGATGTGCAAGGCAGAGAGTAGCTGCCTCTTCTCACCCCTCCTCTGTAGAGAGGTCCTTCAGCTGCCACCAAGGCTGGTCACATCCTACTCAGGGACACGTGTGGCTGCTGGAACACCCATCCTTGCCCCAGCTCGCTCTCTCCCCATCCTGCTCACCGCTCTCCCTTCTTTTCAAGAAAGAGGATGGCACTGTGAACCGGGACTTCAAGAAGACACGGACAAAGGAACAAGTCATGGAGGCCTTCAGGGAGTTCACCAGAGGAAACCGCAATGTTTTGGTGAGCGGGGGATGCCGGGAGGAGGCTGCCGTGAGAGGGTTTTTCCTGGGGAGGCTGCCCTCAGCTCATCGGCTCCCTGCTCGGAGCAGCTGCAGCCTGAGCAAGTTCTCTTAAAAAAGCATGAAAAATGGCAAAGAGAAACACCATCCTGGCATGGGGGTGAGGGGAGAGTGGCGGAGGGCTGGGAGGGGACACGTTTGCTGCAGCATCATTGCTCAGTTGCAGGACAGGTGGCCGAGGCTTCCCCCTGCCTGCGCCAGGCACCCTGCACTTGGGCAAGCCACTCTCAGCATTTCCTAAGTTTCTGTACGTTGCCAGGAGAATAAGAGATGCAGCTGTAAACAATTTACACTGCCTGTGTCAAATATCCTGTTTGACAAAGTGCTCCCATTTTGAGCTGCACTATACAAAGCCTACAAACACAAGGCTGCAGCTGGAGTGGCCCTTAACACTGCCTCCTTCAAACTGGCACCTTCACTGTGACCAGTTACCCAGGGTTTATTCCTGGAGCTGGAAATGAAGCTGCCTGGCTGCGTCTTATCCCCAAACTGTTTAGAGCACACTCATACCATCGTGCCTTGGCTCTGGATGGGGCTCCTTGTCCAAACCATTGCAATACAGTGACCCCCACATCTCCCCACACAGTCAAAGTGGGAAAATTTAGGTGCCCAGATACCAGCTGTGTGTGTTACTGTGCTTAGTCCTTATGCCTAAACATCAAAATCAAATTATCAAAGGGGCCCCAGAGAACGTTCAGTGCCTTCCAGCATCTGCAGGGATGCTCGAACAGGCGTGTGGGTCTTGACCTGCACGCTGACTAACGTGAAAGCCCTTCCACCTACGGTTCCAACTTTGCAGAAGTGCTGATATGGAGTTAGAGAAGTGTCTCACGATGCTTGACTGACTGAGTGATCAAATGACAGATGAGGTGAAAAGCTGACCTATTAAAAAGAGCGCAGGTGAGAGGAAAAAGCAGCCTGGCTACGCATGCACAGCAGCGGCTGCTGAATTAGCTGTTCCCTCCTCGGGAGCACTGTGGATGCAGCAGGGGGAAAGTCTGCAGAAAGCACCAGTTCAGCAAAAACAAATGCTCTCGCCAAGTTTTAGAAGCCAGAGGAGCTCACAGGGTGCCGTAGAGGCCGAAAGGATAAGTGGATTCCAAAAAAGAGGTGACACCCTCCTTGGGGATGGGTCTACAGGGAGGATGCTGACTGCAGCTGAGGGATGCCACCCGGCATCTCTCCATGCAAACATGGTATCATGGAGAGGATGCCACGAGGGGTGATTTTCCTGTCTGCTCTGTGCAGCAGTTTTTATGTAGGCTTCCTGCAGCACTGATGGCTTGGGTGTTTTTTTTTTTTGTAATTTCAGAACAGTTACCTTAACCGGTTGAAGGGTATCCGCGCTACCCTGGAGACATCCCCGTTCTTCAAATGCCATGAGGTAATACTCGTTTAGATAAATCTGAGCTAAATCTAGTTTAATCTCAGCTTGTCCAAGGAGAGAGGTGAAATCAAAGTCAGAGGGTGTAATTTTCTAAAACTTTCTAAAAATTTCTTCTTCCATCTTTGTTTTCATACCCATGTTTATCTAATACTTGTGGAAATACAGCTGGTGACTGATATAATGTTCACACATCTGACATGGGCTCAAATCTACAGATCAAATCATCCAGATTAAAAGTGTATCTAGGAGGAATTTGGGCTGCTTATGGGTTTATATGACAGGGAAAAATCCTTAGTGTAAAAGTAGAAGAGTGTTCTGGAGAGAAATGCCTGTCTGAATGCACCCTGGGTATCATGAGGGTGGTGAGGCACTGGCCCAGGTTGCCCAGAGAAGCTGTGGATGCCCCATCCCTGGAGGGGTTCAAGGCCAGGCTGGATGAGGCTTTGAGCAATCTGGGCTGGTGGGAGGTGTCCCTGTCCAGGGCCGGGGGGTTGGAAGGGACCTTAAAGATTGTCTAGTTCCAACCTAAACCATTCTGTGATTCTATGATTTGGCTGCCAGGTGCTCCATGTGATCAAACAAGGCTTCAACTTAGCCATAGATTGCAGATCATCCCAAAATGGCCTTTGCTGAGCTGGCTGGGGCACCACGGTCAGCACTCTTCTCTTGGAAGGACTTCCCTTCAGAAACATATCCACAAAATCAACATTTTCTACAGTGAAAATTCTGTTCTGGTGGGAAAACAGAGAGGGAGTGCTGCATTTTTAGCCAATTCAGGAGGAATTGGAATGCTCCATAATTTAATTAAATAATTTTATTGATTTAGCATTGATAAAGTGTATTTGCTATCGCATCTACTTAACAAAACATGAGAGTGCATGTCCTTAGCACATGTTGACTCTGGATAAAAGCCTCATAGGAAACCCCGACTCGCAGGGAGCAGGAGCCACAGCTCCAAGAACCCGCTGTCCCTCAGCAGGAGCCACGTGAACCACCTTCATCCCAGCTGCGTGTGGAGGGTCCTGCTGGAGCTGAAGGCAGATGGGGCCCTGCCTCCCATTGGAAGGAAAATGTTGAAACCGAAGGTTTTGGGTCAGTTCAACACAGGAAACAAAATGCTCCCTGAAATCAAGTGCCAGGGTTTCGTCTGAAAACACAGAAACAAAACAGCCTTTCAAGGAGGTTTTGAAAGGAGTTTCCATTCCTTAAAAATTAAAAAGCACTAGCTTTGACTTGCTGTCCCACTTTGAGACGGAGCACAGCAGAAAGTCTGCCAGGCTCGGCAGGGCCCTCGCTGGTCACAGCTCCTCCAAGGAGCTGCAGGAGAATTCGGCGACCCAGGGCAGGCGAGCAAAGAATGTCAGCAGAAGGCTCTTCCTTAAAGTTAAAATGCTCTGCCCTGGCCAAGAGTGGGCTGTAAGAGCTTAGAGGGAGAACTAAAGATAAGCGTTTCTGGGAAATAATAAGTATCTCTGGACCTTGGATGTTTTCCCAATGCGCTGGAGGAGGAAGTCTCCTCAAAAATGTAAATTCATAATGGCTTTTGCAAACAGTACATGCTTCCCGTTCAAAACCCTTGGCTAAAGGCGAACTTCAGACTAAATCCCGGTGCTAGCACAGCCGTGGGAGTCCCTGTTAACACTTGGTGCTGCTGTTTCGCAGGGTTGACGCCAGTGGGATGTCCCTGGAGCTGCACTCCTCTGAGTACCTCATGGTGTGAGCTGCTCCTGGCTCTAGGGACACTGTGTCCCCTGTGCTAACAGCCATTGCGCTCTGGTCACCAGCGTCCCTCTTTGTGATACTTCCCTGGGGCTTGCTCTGGCCAGTACTTCCTGCAGGATTTTCCCAAAGGCAGATCAAGATGTGGAAGACCCCTTCAAAGCAGATATAGCAGAGCAAACTTGTGGAAAAGGAAATTCGTGTACATGCACCTCTAGTGTGCATCACAGAGCACTGTGAAAGCCAGGAGGATATTCCAGGGGGAATCTGGGTGCAACTGGATGGTATTTCAGGCAGGAGACAGCACTTCGAGAGTAACTTGTACTTGGAGCGTCCCCATCCCTGCGGTGATGCCTGCAGGGCTGGTGAGGGTGGATAGCATGAGCCAGTCACAAAGAACTGCCCTCGGAAAAAATCCCCATCTGAAGGCTGAGACGATTCCTTCCCCAGGAGACCTTGACTCGGTTTCCAAAATGACATCTCAATATCTTTCACGCCTGTTTTTTTATGATCCTCTCCTTCTGCCAAGACCTGAGATTTGTATGAGCAAATCAGCCTGCCTGAATGCCCAATTTGCATGTGCAAACACAGCCGGCAACGCGCAGAGCTTGCTTCTGCTCATGCAAAATCTCAGCATCATCTCTTGCAAATGCAGCCTGAGACAAGGTGTCTGACAGCCCTGAAGCTGGCTGAGAATGAGCAACGGGAGCACCGCTAACTGGTCTCTCCTCTCTGCAGGTAATCGGGAGCTCCCTCCTCTTCATTCACGACAAGAAGGAACAGGCCAAAGTCTGGATGATTGACTTTGGGAAAACCACCCCGCTGCCAGAGGGACAAGTTCTCCAGCACAACGTGCCCTGGGTGGAAGGGAACAGAGAGGATGGCTACCTCTGGGGGCTGGACAACCTCATTCAGATCCTGACAGAGTTGTCCCAGAGCGAAGACTTGCATTAAAAGCCGTACATCCGACTCTGCCACTACCCCCAACCTGCCCCTCGACTGACTCTTCTGAACTGCACTACAAGACACTTTCCAGCCCTCGCCCTTCCCATTTGAAAGCTATACTCTCCCTATTTAAGGTGGTTTTTTGTTGTGGTTCTTTTAGGTTGTCTCAAGGTTTGTTTGGTTTGGTTTTTTTTTCCTCTCCATGTAAATAGAGAGCTAACCTGCCAGAACAAAAGCTGAACTCGAAACCTTGGCTTTGCAGAGTCAGTGCCGGCCAGGAGCAGCCTGGAGGGGTTGCTTAGGCAAGTGTGTGCTTTGCCTGTCGCGCTTTTGTCTCTTGCCCAGCCTGATTTTAAGAGGGCTGGCAGAGGAAGGAGCCTCTCCCTGCACTGGGATCAGTAGCTTCATCCCAAAAACACTCGGTGGCCATGCCCAGGACCCTCCGGCAGCTGAGGTATGCGAGCAAGGTCTGGAGACAGCGAAGGATACTGGGGTCGGAGCCCTTTAGTAGTCCTTGCCAGCCCCTTTCACCCTAGGCACCTGGCTGTGCTGAGTCCTTAAGAGATGCTAGAAGGGCACATTTGGGTTTTTGTGTTCAAGCCATCCCGTGGAGGTTGCTCTGTTCTTTTCAGGTGGCACTGGAGGGTGAGGGTTTCCCTCCTGCTCGGGGCACAGGTATTTACCACAGCAGGGTGCTTCCCACCTGCCTGCCCCATGCTGGGTGTCCTGCTGCAGTGGGGCAAGCTTCACACTCCTCTGTAGAGACCCTGCTAAGAGCTGCTCCCAGCCCTCCTTAGCTGGGATCCCCAACCCTTCATGGGGAATAAAGACTTTGGGCAGGGCTAGGGGAGAGAAAAATAGCTTATAAGGGACTATGAGACCTAAAGTAGGCATCCAAGTTGATCAGTCTTTCTTTGGCAGCAGCCAAGCAGGCGTGTTGGGGTAGTGCTGCCAATGCCCACACCTGGCCCAGGGCGACCCTCCTGCCTGGAGCATCTCCATCATTTTTATCAGCAGCAGGTAAAGGGTTACAGCAGCAAAGCAGCACTTGAGGTGGCTGGATTTGTCATCTTTGGTGAAGGAGAGTTGGGGTCAGGCATCCCCGTGCCTTCCCTTGGTTTCTGCAGAGGTGGCTGACTGCCGCTGCTCTTCGGCACTGGCTGGCTTGCTCGGGCTGCACATACGGCCTCTGCGCTCCGGCTCCTGCACAAACACCCAGTTCCCTATTTGGGGCGGAGGCTATTTTTTAACTTCCTGGAACATTTGAACTCGGTGGCTTCCTTGCGGCAGAGCCGGCTCACTAAAGGTCAGTGAGTGAGAGGGTGGCGGGGAGGGGAGGCTGCGGGGCAAGCTGGGGGGTCCCTCATGTTGGGGACAGAAGGGACATGCAGTGTCAGAGGTGGTGCAGGAGCTCGACAGCCAGAAATCCCTCACCTGCTCCATCCCCAAACCCACTGTCTCATCTCACTCCCCAGGAGCAGTGCTCCAGAGCCCCTCTGCCATTGTTCGGTGGGTCCAGCATCCTTGGTGGGGGAGGTCTTCTGCTGGCAGCAATAAGGAGGAGTTGGCCATCAAGCCATCTGCAGCTGTGCCCCAGCCTCTTTCCTGAGGACTGAAGTCTCCTAAGGTTTTTCTCAGTTCATATCTCACCAGGCAGATGTCTTTAGCTCATCTGATGCCATTGTAAATGGTTGCACTGTTTTAGGTCTTTGCCAGGCTTTTTAGAATAGCCCATGTGGAAGTGCCTTATAGACTTGCCTCTGTTCCATTAGTGTCATGGAAAAGGTTGGGTTTTTTTTTAAGTTATATTTATTTTCATCCCATTTTAATTGCACAAAACACTAAAACTTAATGCATGGAATGCCTTTTTTTTTTTTTTTTTTTAACTGTGTTTTTAGTTTTTAAACCATCCCTTTTCCCATCTTTGGAGAAAGGGTGTGAAAAGATACGCATAGGTATGTACCAGTTACCGCTGTACTTTAGCTTCGAGCTGCTCCTATACATGTATATTATTTTTTAAGCCTGTTTATAAACCAGTTTCCTCGCTTTGTGGCTTCAGAAGAAGCAGATTGTTCCTCTCACATGTCTTATGCCTTTCTGGAGGCCAGAACAGTTGCTGTGAGGGACTTTTTCCCTGCTCCCACCTCCACCTGTTTATTGGTATACAGAGAAAAGTCTGAACCGGGCTGAAACACCAACGCACAGTGCCTGTAAAAAAAAAAAAAAAAAAAAAAATCCTGTAACTTTGCAAATAAAGGCATAGGGGAAGCATTTTCCTGGTGTACAGTCTGTGTCTGCCACACACCGCTTGCAGCAGCCTGGGAACAACCCAGGAGCTGGCTTTTGTGTCCATGATGATTTTGGGGGGATAAGGCTCCAGCCTTGGTTACGTAAAAGCAAGAGTAGGGAAGGACCCTGCGCTGGGGACAGACCCTGACAAACAGGAACTGCCTTTCCAGAGAGCAGGGCAGGGTGAAAGCAGAGCCAGGGCTGTGGGGGGGCTCCGGGTTGAGCGCGGGGCAGCCCTGAGAGAGACCTGAGTTTCTCCATCCTCCCTCTGCAGGGAAGCCCACCAAAGGCAGCTCCACACCAGAGAAATACACATTTACTATCCCATGCCCAGACCTCCAGGAGCATCCTGGTGTGGGCACCAGTCCCTGCAGCATCTCTGAGGCTCGCCACGGCACCTCTAAAACAAACTGCAAGAGAAAATTGGTGTGCACTTTGCTTAAAGCCTAGAAACTTTGTCTTGCTATGAGAAAGACATGCTGGTATTATAGATGTGAGGCTGCTATACGTGCGCATAGCGGTCTCTCGTGGGCTGTGAGGAAGGCGTACGTACATGTTTTCAGTCTGGCTCATACGCTCCTGCAGCGTCCTTGCCGACAGCTGATGTTTTACTCCCAGCTCCGGTTCCTGGGGGGTCTCTGCGAATCTCAGTACGTGACTCCTCTTCCTGCCTGTGGAGGAAAAGAGAAGCCTCCAAACCTTACCCAGCTGTACCCTAAAATGCAAAACCAGAATGTAAAGAATAAGACCCTTAACTCTGTTGTGTAAAAACCTCTTTCGAGAGTTAGGGAAACACCATGACATTGTGGCAGAGCAGGGAAGAGAATAAATCAGGGAAAGAAACCCAGGGGGTTTATGCACCAGGTTGGACAGTGGCAGCCCCTCGTGCCAAGCTGGGGCTGCTGGCGCAGTGCGGCACACACGGCAGCAAGCACCCTGCTTGTCCCCTGCCTGGCTTTGCTGCACCCCCAAAGCAAAACCTCAGGCTGCCTGCCTCCTCAGGGAGTAATTAACTAAATTATTAATAAACTCAATATAGAGACGAGAGGCCAGCATTTATATTAATGCAGTGAAGAATGTTGTTGAGGCTTCCATTGTTAGAGCACGGGGCATCCCAGCACCTCCAGCAGCACCACGGGGGTACAAGGCCGCCTGCTCAGGCTGTGTGGGGGGGGAGGCAGCTCATTTTCTTCTTAATTATCTAATCAGGTACTGCTTGCCAGAGTGAACCTGGAGGGGATCACGCTGCCTGAGCAGTGAGACCTCCAAAGGAGGGTCTTAAGTGCTTAAATAAATTATTTAAGTTGCTGACACTTAAAATACTACTGACCATACATGAAGGTGTGTGGAGCTGGGGGGGATCCAGGCTGTACCAGGGTGGTTTTGCTCTGCTGAGGTGAGGAGTGATGGAATGCTGCAGTTTTGGGGCTGGTGCTGCCAGCAATGGGCTTTTCCCCCTGGAGACCCCTTGCTGCTGCCCCAGGGGTGAGTCTGGCAGCTTGGAAGTTGGCAACAGCCCCTTTGGGTTTCACCCAGGACCCTGTCTTCCCCCTGCTGCGCCTCTGCTGAGGGTGCTGGGTGCTGCCCGGGGGACAGCAGGAACGAGGGGGGCTGCCAGGGTGGCCCTTTGCATCTCACCCAGGGGTTTTGGTGCTTCAGGGGGTGCGTGGCGGGGGG